TCAGTCAAGTTTCGCACCCAAGAACTAAAAAAAAACCCAACCCCGAATAAAAAAAAAACCATACGCCTGATCTTTCTCGCTTTAAAACTCCATCATCCTTGATCTTCGTCACGCAGCCCTCCATCATCCCTCCCTCCCTCCCTCCCTCCCTCCCCTCCCTCCCTCGTCCTCTCACAGATGGAAGGATGAGCTGTCTGTGAATATTAATTAACCCAGACAGTATATATATCCCGGCCCTTATAGAGTTCGGCTGTGGCCCCGTGTCGTCTTCATAAAGCCTCAGATCTGCCGTCTTCCTCAGAGAGTAGAACCCCAAACCCCCCCCCCCCCCCCCCCCCACACACACACACACCACCCCCATGTCCCACCTCCATCTCTGCCTAGGTTCAGCTCCACGTTCCAAACGCCAGCCAATCTGCCACCCCTTTCATTTCCCCTGTATTTTGTTTTGTTTTTTATCCCCCCCCCCACCTCCTGTGGTGACTCCGTATTTTGTTTGCCGGATTACTCTAAGATCTCGCCAGCAGCCCGAAAAATGCCAGCTTTGGCTTTACCCCCTTCCTCAAAGAGCAAACACGGTTCAAGCCGAAGGGCTTCTGCTCGTTCCCGAAAGGCCCCAAAAAAAACCCTCGTCTCTCTGTGTGTTTTTCCCCCCCTTTAAAGCCAGAGCCACCGCTCTGTCTTCCTTTAACCTGGGTAAAAGAGGAGGGGGGCAGCTTGTTGTACAGTAGGTGGTGTGTGTGTGTGTGTGTTTGTGAGTATGTGTGTGTGTGGAGGGGCTGCTTAAGAAGTTCAGCTTTTCTTTTGTACTCTCCAAAAAAGAAAAACCCTTCCTGAGCTTTCTTTTTTCACGAGGACGCTGCAAGAGCTCCCAGCCTGACCCCCCCGCCATCAAAACAGGAAGTGTGTTTTTTTTTTAAAGTAAAAATAAAAAAGGAAATTTAAAAGTGGGTTAAAATGGCGATGAGCAGGTCGTATGTCAAACCGATGGAAAAGGTGATCCGCGCACACGTTATAAAGTCGCACACGCAGCGTCTTTGTTGTTTGCTCCCCCCCCCCCTCTCCCTCCTCAAGTGCCGGCTAATTGCCGGTAATGCAGGGTGAGGGCCGGGGGGGTGTGGGATGGGTGGGATGGGGGGGGGGGGGCGAGGGACGAGGCCGAGCAGTTAGCGCCCGGGCAGATTGGCCGATGATTCACTGAGCAGCCGCTCTCGGGCCCTGAGCGTTACAGATTGTGGAGACACGGGCCCGTAAACAGCCGCCCGCGCGGCCCCATCCATCATGGCGCGCTCGGTTAACTCGCCATCATGTTATTTTCTGCTCGCCGAGCCCTAACACGCCAAAGGTTGCCCGCCGGCGCCGCCGGCTCCTGGAGAGCCGGTAATGAATGTTTAGCCGAGCGAGCCCCCCCCCCCTACACACACACACCCCACCCACCAACACCCACCAACACCCCACCCCCCCCTCCAGCCGGAGGGGCCCCGGGTAATTTGTTTATCTGTCTAAAGACCACGCAGGCCGAAAATCCACAATTTTATGCTGCCTTTGTAAATTATCAAGTGTGCGTTTGATGAATGTATCTATCTGCCCCGGGGGGGGGGGGGGGGGGGGGGGGGGGGGGGGGGGGGGGGGGGGGGGGGGGGAGAGGAATAGAGAGGTGGCAGCGCGTGGCCCGCTGTAGAAAATAAAGGTAGCGAGGTGGAGGCGCGCCGCCAACTGACCCCGCCAGCTCTGAAGTTAATTCAGATTCTGCTTTGTGGTTCATTCCCGAGCTGTCTGTCTGTCCGTCTCCTCCCCAAGTTGCACGTGTGTGTGTGTGTGTGTGCAAGAGATGGGGGTTGGGGGGAGGGGGGGGGCTGTTTAAAAAGTCTTTAGTTCGACCAGACGAGTTTGATTTATGCTCCAGGCCGCAGATTCCCGTGTGAGCGAGGTATGGGCGCCCCTCTGAGCGCCGAATAAGAAATCAGAAACACAATATGTCTGTGTATATGTGTATTTTTTTATCTGAGATTGGTTTGGTTGGACGGGGGGGAATGGCCCGGAAGTTTGGAAAATGGGGAGAAAAGGTTGAGCTGTAAGAACTGATCTTTAAGATTTTCTGATGGAGGGGATGAGTCCTCCCCAGAGCCTGAACTCACCCTTAAAGAGGTTATGTGGGACTCAAAGAACGGCTTTGGAACGAGCTTCAGGAGCCTTGGAGAAGTTTTTCGTACGATGACTTAGTGAGGTTACTCCCAGAAAAAAAGCGATTCCCCCCCAATGATTTCTATTTTCCTGTAGAGGTATGAAGAGATATGGGGGATCTCCAGACTTCTTTGTGGTGCTTCAAGCGTCTAACACACTAGATGCACACACATATGCATACACAAGCCAAAGCACAGTCCACAACTGGTCAACTAAAAACTTTGAACAACGTTTTGATGCCAATTTTTCCTTTGAGCCCTCTCAGCAGTTTCGACGGACCACAGCAAGGCAGCACGAGCTAAAAATCTCTTTCGTTTTGTGTCTCCGCAGCTTGAAAACGAGGAGAAGTCTGTAGTGTACGACAACATCGGGCCCAATGTCTGCATGGGGGACCACAAGGTAATGCTCCGCCCACCTGTTTCTTTTTTTTTTTTACCTATTCTGGCCATTTGTAGAAGTTCCGTTTTAAATATAATACATAATACATAGCGAGATGTCGTTGAAAATGCCTGTTTAAGTTTTTACAAAGAGCCTCACAGTGTGTGTGTGTGTTTTCACCCCGACAGAGGACCACAAAGTGCTGCGTAAAAAAAAGAAAAAAAAAAAAGAAAAATCTAAAAATCCCAGCTGGCTCATTTTTTTTTTTAAAGGAAAAAAAGAGAAGAAAAAAAACTAAGAGGGTCAGATATTGTTAGCGCGCCGGTGCTAAAATGCCCCGCGCTGCTCTGTGAGTTTAACCCGCCTGTCAGAGGTTTTCTTCCCCCAGAGCTCCCACCAAAAGGGAGGGGAGAAAAAAAAAAAAAAAAACTTTGACTTCTTCCCTCTTTCTTTTTGTTGTGGTTGTGCTCACCTGTGTTTGTCTCTGTCCCCCCCGGCCAGCCTGTCTTCCTGTCCTTCCGACTAATCCCGGGGCCAGGTAAACTTAATGCAAATAAGCGCAGGTGTTGTGCGGTGCTGTGATTTCGTGGTAAATATCATTTTTTTTTCTTTCTCATAATTCTTTCCCCATTGTTGTCAGTGTTTTGCTTATGATTTGCTTGATTCTTCATGACCTAGTCAGAACGCCCCCCTCGCCCCAAGGGTTTTATTTCCTTATAAAACTGTGTTTTTGGAGTATTTTGAGGAGGAGATGGGGGGGGGGGGGGGGCGTTGCATAGCTGCTGATTGCTTAAAATGCGTCAGTCATTTTAAGACACTTACTAACAAGCTAGAGCTGCATTTTTTTTTCCAAATAAACAACAAAACCAAACACTTTTACTCTAACTCATCATTTTCCAGCAGGGGGGTTGTTTTTATAGATGAAATTGACATGATTGGCATGAAGGAGTAAAGCTTTTTTTTTTTCCCCTCTTTGTTTTTTTTCCTGTTTTTCTTTCCCTTTTCCCCCCTACAGGGAAGTGTTGCCAAAGGGGGGAGAGCATATTCCGCGAAGCACCTCTGTGAAAAAAAAACAAAAAAAACACACAGGAGAAACGCACAAACACAATTACACACACACACACACACACACTTTACACACCTTGCACAAGCGTACGCTGAAGAAGAGCCCCAGAACCCGGGACGCCTCTCCATAAAACACTCATCCAGACCGGCCGCACGCACACACACACACACACACACACACGCACATCGCTGACCTCACCGTTGCCGTGCAACCCCACCCGCTCCCCGGAGGTGGAAACGGAGGGAGAAGACCCCCCCTCATCACACACAAACACACACACATCCAGACGACTCCTTTCCATGCCGCAGCCTCGTTTGCCAAAACTCTAAACCCCCGGAACCATACTACGTACTTCTTTTAGACACCGCACGGGCCATTTTTTTTAGGTATGCCTCTGTGTATAGGAGCTACTTTCCATATAATATGTAAGGTGTTTTAAAATAAAAAAAAAAACGAAGAAGAAAAAAAAAAGAAGTGCAATGCAAAAAAAGTTGTATATCTCTATTGTTAGGTTTATTTGTACATTTGACAGTATAACATAGAGCCTTGATGGTTTTAGTGCCGTTCTCTTTTTCTGACCAAACTTTGTGGTCTCTGTTGGAATAGGTAGAAATCAGAGTTTATTTCTAACATATATACATATCTGTGTATCTCCAGATATATGGATAAGTATGAATATAAATATATATATGTATGTATGTATATATATATATATATATATATATATATATATATATATATATATATAAAACATATGAAAGATGTGAAAAATGCTTTTTTTCTGTTCTTTTTTTGTTTGTTTTTTTTTTTAGCTGTGTGCAGACCGCGCAAGCCCGTGCCTCACACATCAGTGGCGTTTTCATTTTATATACCGTGTACTTTTTAAAAGAGAGATATATTATAATTCTTACCAAAATGTTTATGCCTGAAAAAGTGCGTGCGGGAGCTGAGTGACGGGGACGGCGTCCCCGTAGCCACGGAGACCCTCAGAAATGAGGCTGTTGAGCAGGAGAGCAGCAGAGAAAAAAAAAAAGACACAACAAACTCTTCAGTGATATATCGCCTATCCAAGAATGTTTTAAGCAGTGCCATAGACCATGCAAGTATATATATATATATATAAGATAATGTTTCATATATATATAGCACTCTCACGTTATGTCATTATTATTCTTACTCTAACTTATTTCTATAATGTTATGGTTCTGAATGTGATATTTTTAGGTAGGCTTGGGTGTCCTTACAATGTAAACAGTTGATTTTTCCCTTTTGGGTGTCTTTTTTTTCTGTTGTTTTTTGTTGTTATTTTTTTTTTTTTGTTACTGCATTTTGGTGCCAAGTATCCTACAAGACATATATTGTGTAAGTTCTGAATGAAGAGGGGTGTAGATTGGGAGATGTTTAAAAAAAAGAACTTTAAAAAAGCGAGAAAAGCTCTAAAAGCAGGGTTCTGGCTTATTTCTCTCTCTTTCTCTCACTCTCTTATTTTTTTTTTTAATGTTTGATTTTTTTTTTTTTTAAACTTTCCTTCAGCCCCCCGCCTGCAAACAGCATTACAGAGAGAGGGGCCGTTTGTTTTCTTTTGCCTTCGTTTTTTATTGGTTTCGTTTGGCTACACTACAGGTTTAAGATTGATAATCTTTGATTTTTATTTTTTATTTTTTCTTCTATCCATCCAAATGTCATGACGATCGGAACTGATCTCGTTCGTGTTCGTCCTCTCGCGTGAATTGGTTTCGTAGTCAAGAAAAGGAGTGGTGGTGGTGGGGAGTTTAAAAGAAAAAAAACAAAAACAAAAAAATAAAACCTCGCTTGTTTTTGTTCATGCTGGTTATTGTGAGTATAATGTAGAACTGTAAGCTGCAGTTTTGTTTTGTTTAGTCTGTTTTTTTCCCTCTTCACTCCATCTTATCGATGCAAATAGAGATTTTATTCTATTCTAGCCCCTTCTGGACGACCTGGCCTCTTCTGTAGGTGATGCAGTTCTCAAGCAATAAAAACCAGTAGAGCTCAAATGGCTGGTTTGTCCTTTTTATCTTTCGTTTTTTTCCCCCCCAATTTCTTTCATTCTCAGAAGTCTCACAGTGCATTTACAGAAGGGCTGAGATTCAAAGGCTGTCAGCAGGGAAAATTGAATTCCCATGGACTTCTGAGGAGTCCTTTAAGTGAATCAAATGCCGCTTTTACTTTGTTGATCTCCGTTAGTGTCACCACAGTGATCACATATGTCCAAAAGAATATTTTGTGTACAAGATCATTCTCAGGTTTGCTTTAAAGTAAATACATTTTTGTTGTTTTTTTCCCTTTAAAATTGAAAAAAAAAGTGCAGACTTTCTCTTTAAAAAAGCTAAACTTATTGGAAAATTCGTTGAATTTACGAAGTCATTTTCGCCACAAAAAAAAAGGCTCAAAAGATTGTTTTCATTCCAGTTAAACACCATAGTCTGGGGTTTGTGCTCCACACCAAAAGTAGTTCGATTGTTTTTTTGCCTTTGTAAATGTCCCTTTTCTTCGACAAGAACCATTCCCAGTCCAGCCCAGATGTTCTATTCTAACTCAGGTTATCGGAGAGCCTCAGGAGATGATGTCGGCCCTAATGACTGCTCATTTCTGATTGGCTGACAGTTGGTGTAGTACCGCCTTTAGGACGCAGGGGGCGCAGCGTTAGGAAGTTAGAAGTTTAGAGTCCATTTGGACTTTTGCAAAAGAAAACGACGGAATTCTGGACGTTTTGCTGGAGATAATATATCTGATGGTCAGCCTTTTATGAAAGATTTGACTCTGGGTGAAGAAAATGGGCTTGGATGAAAAAGTCTTAATGAAATTGATCTTGACTATTTAAAAAAAAAAGGTTAAAAACTTTAAACTGTTGCACTAATAATGGCGGAACATTTTTCATCCAGTAAATATCTGGAAACTATTATTAATAGTTTTTTTTCAATTGAATTCCTCATAAAAATGAAATTGTGTAAACTTGAAGTGATATGTTTAGTTGATTATTTCAAAAAAATATAAAAAAGGAAAATAGTTTTGTGGAATCATCCTTAACAATAATAATAATAATGTCCTTAACAGTTATCAGTCATGGATTCATCTTTCATTCAAAATGAGTTCAAACACATTAACAAAAGCCATTATAACAAAAAACGCTTGTTAAATAATTTATTCATAATACAAATTCTTTCTTTTTTTTTTGCTTTCTATAACCTTCCTGGAAGCAATAATATTCATTTTTTTATTATTTAAGATCAACATAAACTGTCCCGCTGCCTGATGAGGTAAAACTCTTCCAAATGAAACCAAAGTGTTTTGTTTTTTTTGTCGTTAAAACAAGCTGCTTTTTTTCTCTTTTTTTAACAGTCATTATTTACAGCGGGTTGTTTTTTCTCCCATTCGTCTATACATCGGTGTGCCCTGGAGATTTGCATAAAAGGTGGATTAAAATGGGCAACACATTATTTTTTTATCTGCGGGGATAAAAAGAAAAAAAGGAAGCAGCAGGTTTATCTGAGAGGAGGCTGGAGGAGGACGAGGAGGAGGGCTGCTGCGTTTCCACATAACTTATTCAGTAAAAAATATATATACATCCTCACTTACATTTTTTTTTTTTACTTATCTGCAAGGCTACAGCGCAAAACAAAGGAAATCAAAACATTCACTTGTGTGATTCTCGCCTTTTAGGACAGTGGATACCCTGGTTAAACTGAGCTTTAGAAGCGTCACAGGCCCCGTTTACACCTGCAGTTAGAAACATGCGTCTGGGATCCGGATCAGTGTGGACTCCGAAAAAAAAAGAAAAATAAACTTCAACAAGAAGAATTAAGCAACAAAAAACCAAAAAAAAAAAAAAAAAAAAAAAGAGAACTAACTCGGGTGGATTCTTAGTTAAAGCTGTGCTGGGAAAATGCAAAATATTTGAATTCTATTCAACGGAAAAGGTTGAAGGTCCTAGATAAAAGAAAAAAATCAAAATAAATACAATAAAAAAAAAAGAAATATTAGGAACGTTAGCAGGTTCTCTTTAAGAGAAAAACAAAT